CTGAGAGAACAACGCGCTAGCCCGTGGGAACAGCTGTGGGACGACGAAAATGGCCGACTGTATTTCTTCTTCAAGGTGTCGTCAATTGCGTTGCAGACTTCAGATTCATCCTTTATGACATGTAGCATCGTTTGAGTCTGATGGGCTCATCGTACGCGCCTCGTGACGTGTAGGAGCGGTTGTGAATGACACAGAGGGTGATTTGAGCATACGAGGGCACGGCCAACATGGCAATCGTCCCTCGTGCCGTACAAGTTGGCTCTATCGATGCAATTGGGCAACAGGAGTTGTAATTCTTCGGTGAGCCCTATCTCGACAATACGTCGCTGTTTCCCCTCTGGTTCGATCGCGGTTGCTTCTATGTTTACAAGGCATACATACCAGGAGCGAAGGGGAGCTTCACTACGTCTCGTTAACACCATTTGCTCGACTGTTGCAAAATTTAGGGTAACATGTGGGTCTTCCACTGTCCTGCTGCTTCGCACTGAATACGAACCTCCTTTCCTTCCGTTTGATTTGCGCCGCTTTCGGGTCATTAATTCAATGCATCAGGATACGGGTGAGTCTTACTGGGACCCTCCGGAAGCGCCATTCCGACCAATGATCCGCGACCGACTGTCTGGAGCCCTCATTCAAGCCTGGCCGCAGCTAGAAAGAGAGCTGTTGGAGGTACAGTGGGGGTGTTGAGACTATTTTGCTGTTTTCGTCCTTCCTCTGAAGACAATTTGTGAACACTTTTCGGAGTTTCGAGCATCTTACATTCCGGGAGGGTCCCAACGGCAACGGTTGGCACACAACAGTACAACTCCTTTCATTTTTACGGATCTGAGCGCGGTAATAATTGACTTATCGCCAATCAGGAAGAAGTCCTCGAAACAAGCGGAGTCAGAAGTGTCTTGTTCCGTACTTTGCAATTTTGTTTTCACTCGTTTCATTGATATCCGCCCTTCTTGCGCAGGCGGTTGGAGCAGCACCGGGGTACTGCATGCAATGCAAGACCGAGAAAGCCACCCGAGTGTGCGACCAGTGCACGTTTGGTGGACGGAAAAAGCCCGCGTGGGGAGGCGGCCAATATCACCTGTGCTTCGTCTGCTTTGCTGTGAGAAAAATGACAAATTTGACGCGTCTCTCCCTAAACCAGTTTGTGGGTGCTTCCTTGTCTCTTTAGCGTGTACTGTTGGTCCACTTGCCCATCTACGCCCCGCAGCTTTTGAGCTGTAGATGTTTTGCTTTCAGTCCTATTCTACTGTTGGTGGTGATCCTCCGAACAGTTGCGGTATGTCAACGTTCCACATATAAGCTGAACACGAAAAGAACGAGTCGTGCCGAGGGGTCACTGGTTTCGACCATTGCTTCCTGGGGTAGCACGATCGAATTTGCATGTTGCTGTCTATCCCGCCTCTGCCGAGTTCCTGTTCATTCCTCACCACCCATCCTTGCGCCAGGTTCTTTGCAAACCTAAGTCATTCGGTCACTCACTCCGGAACAAACAGCTGTTTCCCGAAGGGATACTTGTTCGTTTCACTCCATGCTCCTCTCCCCCGCGCATGTGTAATTCTTGGCGTTTGCAAATGTGTCTCCAGGAGCGACACGCCGACACGCCAGAACTCACCAGCCACACATTCACTCCCGTCCAAACGCCCGGGAGTGGCGAGCTCACGTGCAGCCTGTGCGACCGTCCGGCCTCGCGAAGGTTTGTTGGCGTTTCTGATGCTGCTGATGGTCGTTGATATTGTTGTTGCGTAAAAACGCAGTTTGCTCAGTCTATCTATCTTGCCGATGGAATTGTGGCCCTTGAATACGCGATCGTCGCGCCCAGCGTATTGGAAAGTAAAGTTTCGTGCCCTTGTACTTCGTGTATCACTTTGTTGGCCTGGTCTTCTGCTATGTAATTAATATGACAAGGGTGCCACAGCAGCACCTCGGCGCAGGGCATACTATTGTCCCCGATGAAAATTTTGTACCATGCGCGGAATGTACGTCAACGAAAACTGTCGCGAAACCTCGCCTCTCCGCACTTCCGATACAAACAAGCAATCAGCAGGTGTGTAGACGAACGGGTTCCGAGCGAAAATGAGAACGGAGCAAAATAGGAAGCTTGTGCTGCTCACCCAATCCTAGTCGTAGAAGACAACGAGAAAACGAACGGCCATTGATAGGTGCCTGACAAATGCACGCGTGAACAAACGTTGTTGATCAACAGGTGTAGGGGCCTCGAGCTGCCGGAAAGGGCGCTGGTCGTCGCCGCTCGCCTACTGCAGAACGCGCGGCTGGCCGCCGTCTTGAAGGGCCCGGCCGCACGGGGGCACCCACCCCGTCCGTCGTTGTCGTCGTCGCCGGGTTATCCCAATAGCTCGTCCACGGCCACGACGAAGGCGTCAAGCTCGACGGCAACGGGAGGAAGCATCTCCTTGGGCGGTGGTAGCGACAGCAACAAGACGAGGAAGGCCGGTGATCCCCCGGTATCCCGTGAAGAGTTCGAGCGTATCCTGGCCGTTTGCGACCTGCCCTACAGCCTCACGTGGGCGGATGCTACTTACGAGCTGTGCAACGACGAGGTAGGAGTACAAGGAGAGGTGGAGGCCTACGGCGGTTACGGCGAAGGGAAGGCCAAGAAGAAGAAGAGGAAGGTGCTGCGAACGCGCGAGCAGTTTTGGGCTGCCTTCGGAGCGGCACTGGTTTCGGCCGGCGATGATTGCGACGATTTGCTGTGTGGGTGAGACCAAGGAAGCAGGTAACAGGCACATCGGGATAGGAAACATTTCCGACCATAATTCAACCAACCGCTCACCCCACAGCCATGAATACTTTCCTTCCTGAGCCCTATCATTGGGTCTACGGTTTCGACTTTCGATATGCCCTACATGAGCGATGCACTTTTCTTTTCCCTGCCGAGAGCCGCCGACCGCAGAAGGCTTAAACGAAAAGAAGATCGTGGACATATGCCTTGTGTGTTTCCTGGTTCGAAAGCACAACCTCTTGGAGATGAAATCGGTACCCGCTGTTTTCCCACGGCATTTTCGATGGGGCTGCGCGTACCACAAGGTGGACGTCTAACGGTGTGAGAGATCCACATCGACCTCGAAAAAATAACACAAGTCGATCTCTTTTGACATTGGATTTTTCATACGAATATGATCTTGTTTTGTTACAACAGCGAGTGCTGGGAGAGCGTCCACAAGCGAGGCGTCCGAGCGAGTCACCGCTGGGAAGGCTTCCGCGCGGGATCGCCGGCGTGCGTGGCGTGTCGCCGCAGCCCTGCAGAGCGAAAGTGCAACGTCTGCAACGATCTACTTTGTGCGCTCTGCTTCATTGAGAGGTCGGAAAATACGCTTGGTCGTACACTGCCCGTGCCGCATGGTCGGAATGACGTCGGGGGGGGATCTGGAGATTGTATAACAGGGAACATGAAACAGGCGCGGAAACCACAGTAGCGGTAGTGCTGATAGCAGCAGTAACGTCAATGCCCGCCATAGCTCCAACAAAATTGCTTCCCCCAAATCGCTCGCTTTATCCCGCCCATTCGTTGATTTTCAGCCCCGTCCTCCAAGCAAGACATAGTAGCACTCCGGCTGTTAGTACCGACGCTTTAGATCCATCCCAGCGCGCGCTGAAGAAACTCAACTGTTCTCGTGGCCTGACCAATGCCATCAGCATTTTGCAACGGTACGTGCGATGCTCGTTGCTTTTCGCAGTCACGCTAGGGGAAAGAAAAAGCGACACTCTTGGCGGACGTGCCTGGAGGAGCCGTTGGAGCTTACCCGGTGCAGTGAATGCCATCGTAGGGTGGGCGACAGGCGGTGTAAGAGCTGCGAGGCAGACCTATGCGACTCGTGCCAGGCCTTTACACATGTAAGGGTGAGAGAGAACGGGCGAACTTGTTTTTTGAGGGGGCCTTCTTGTGCAATACAGAAAAAAAGACGAGTGTGTGGACGCATTAACGGGGGGGGGCTCCCGTACATCAGCGACTTGCCGCCTCTTCCCGATTTACCTAACTGTACTTCGGACACCACGAAGCCCTCAACCAGACGCACACCTGAAACATGTTGAGTGCGCATTTCGGTCCTTGCGCTCTGTGTGCTGCTCGACGACCCATGAGCAGACATGCCATCGCGCCGAGGAAGAAGGGCGTAAGGACTCCTCAACAGCTGGCGGCGACAACAGCGGGAAGCACGCGCCCAAGAGAGCTTCGTCTAGCGGGGCCGTCGGATGCGGGGGTCGTCACCCGGCGGTCACGAAGAGACAGAAGAGGGAAACGGATGAAATATTTGCCTCCCTCACCCTGGAAGGGACCGAGGTAAAAGAGATACTGATTCTTGCGCGCGTGCAAGGGCATGTTCGGCCCAAGAGACAGCTTTCTTCGCGTTTGTTTTTGGAGTCTACCAATTGCCAATGACATGATAAACGTAGGCCTTTTGCAGATGTTGCGCCACCAGCTTTTCAGAATCATGCAACCAACCAACGTGTTCTTGGTTTTGACTATCTTCTCCGTGTACTCTCGTTACCTTATCGCTTTCGTTCTCTCGACTGCTAAAGTGAAAAAACCCGGAGGTAACAAAGCACAACGATACGCGCTCCCTCCTTTCCTTCCTTCTGGCCTCGCGTGATGGTCGGGCTGGTAGCTTCGATCGATGGGATGTATAGCCTTCTTGATTCAGCAAAAGAACGTGTGTCCGCACTTCCGCTCATGGTACCTCTTTGCATGCCTGCTCCCCTCCCCACCCACTCAACTGTTCCTGGTTGCCTGCCGATCTACCGGCGTTCCTGTCTACATCACTTCGGTTGATCTGACGAAAAAACATCACGATTCCATCCGGAAAAAAACAAACACGAAAGCTGAAAGGAGACCTCAGAACGTTGTACGCCCTTGACCGAATCCTGGGAGTTGTTGAAGATTCTTACGAAGACTCAGCTACAACAGAAGCAGGGGAAGCCAAGCAACGGAAGAAGAGAAAGGGGGGTGAAAATGAAACGGATACAAAAGAGGAGGGTGAAGAAGACAAGGAGAAGGGGGAGAAGGAAGAGGAGGAGATAGACGAGATGCCGCTGGTTTGTGATGTATGCGGGAAAACTCCGGACGTCGAAGTGAGTGCTCGAACAGAATGGGGGCTGGATTCGAGTGAGACGACCAACGGGGCGCGTCGTTAACGTAGATGACCATTGCTATTGAGTACCCGCACCCGTGTTTTTGTTGCAGTCAATTCAACATCGCCCAAACATGAGCTGCAATGGTTTGAAGCATGTGGTCTCGGACCCGTGTTTTCGATCATTACTCTGCAGCTTCCAAATGCCGCTAGTGTAGTTTCCTCTTCGTTTTGGGTTTGGCTAACAAGTTTCGCTCCCGCATCCCTGTTTTGTTTCGTTTTCAGTGTGAGGAATGCGGCACCGTGTACTGCTCCAACACCTGGGTCGGCAACCCCGGGTGCTTCATCAGGGATCACGAGCGGGGGAATCGCCGCAAGCACACCAAACGCGGGTAAGCCCAGCGTAGTGGAGGGTGCTGTTTCAAATAGGACGCAACGTAACATAGTACACCTACTCTACCGGGAGGAGAGGTTCTTCAAAATCAGACCTGGTGGACGAAGAAGAAACATCACAACATCACAGGGAACACGAAAGCACCCGGTCCTTCGCATGCGCCTTAGGTGTTTCCACCCTGGCAAGTGTGCCCAAGGCACATGTTTCGGTTTAGATTGGTGATGCGCTTAAATAGGTCTGTGGCGTCTAACCGTGGCCTTTGACAAAGAGACCACGTGAGGCTGCCGAGAAAATTTCTCCTCTTTGCTTCCCTTCCTACCTGTCTCTTCACACTTCCTGCATCGCACAAGTTGAAGTCGCGCCGATGAGAAAATGGAGTGTGAGTTGAAAAGTTGGGTACGCCGTAGGACACAACGACATCGAGCATGGGGTTGGATCGCCCGGATATTGTGCTGACTTGGTCTTCCCTCCTGTCTATTTCAACGCAGATACACGCACGCAAAGGACTTGTTGAAGAGGGCAAAGAGGAAGGAGAAGGAGGAGAAGGAGCGAAAAGAGCGGGAAAGTCGCCAGAACGGGGAGGCCCGCCGGGACGAAAAGGCCGACAAAAAGCGGCGCCTGAAACTGGCTCAAGAACGCGAGGTGAGAACCGGCTCCGTCGAAATATAAGAGACCGCACGTTGGCTCCAAATCCGCCCCCACCTGTTCGTAGCAAGAGCAAAGTCCACTTCGACCGGCTGACGCTCCCCGCCCCGCCATGACTTTCCTGGGTCTCGGAAAAGCACGGGGTAGTCTGGACAACCACTTCCGCGTTGTTGTTTTTGCGCGCGATTTTTGCTGGTGCTCTCCCGTTCTACAATTCGCCCCAACCCAACAGTTGGCACGCGAGCTGAGGCTTCAGAAGGAGGCCAAGAAGGAGCTGAAACGACGGATTCGTCGCCGCAAGACCCGGGCGGCGGGCCTCAACCCTTCCCTGCTCCCCAGACTCAGGTTCAAAGCAACGGAGTTTGCAAATAAGCGAGGCTTTTTCTTGTCACAACAACCGAGTTTTCTCTCCGTTCGAATACCTCCCGGCATTGCGATGACCACGCGAAGACTAGTGGATGCCCTCCGGGGGCATGAAAGGGCGGGTGGAAGGGACTTTGATACTATTGGTGGTGGTGACGGTAGGGGTAAAAGAAGTCCGAATGGAGCGGCGGGAGACCGAAGCAGAAGTAGGACCAGAAGCCCGGCCAAGAAAAGGCATCGAAAACACCTGAAATGACCTTGAGCAGTGAGATTGTGTGTGGATACTGACCGCGTTGCCGCGGAAGCGGTGAGGAGGGCTAGTCGTAAAGCAAAGACTGTGACGTCCACAATGCACCCGTTCCGCGAGCAGGGCTTGATGCCCGGTCGAAGGGCGTGGTGTGGCCACGAGGTTTTCGGACTCTTCGGACTCGCTTTGGCTTGAGTATACGGGGTGAAAATACGGGTCTTTTTTCGTTTGTGTTTATCGTTTTCTTAGTCGTGCGCTATGATTGTACTTCAAGGGTTTAGTTGGTGGTATTCCCTTAAATTTGAGTTCCTATTCGCTTGATTAGGCTCGGCGGGCCAACTTTAATGCCAGAACAAGCAAGCATCAGCAACCAGTTGGCACAAATGTGTGCACCAGTTCCTTGCCGGCTGTGTTGTTGATGTGCAGTTGGCTTTCCACAACCGCACCGAAGACAATGGCAATGATGATTCGCGACAGTGCGTGGTTCGGAGCTTCGGAGTGAACATGATAATTCAGTCACATTTTTTCTTTCCGTTCTGTGAGACCTCTGGAGACCGTAGCGGTCTCGTAGAGGAGTAACGGCATAGCTCTGTGTCCGTGTATGCAATTTTCTGTTTCATCCACGGTGGTCACTGCTTTCACGCTTTCTATCGCGCCGGGCGTGGGTTGGTATGTGCATGTGTATTGACTCTTGTCATGTGCTCAGACTATCTCCCTCCTCACCCCATATCTCTCCTCCCTCATCGGAAAAAGTCGTGTGCTGCAAGGGTTGTTTTGACACAACTTTTCACACACCTGCTACCCCTCAATCTTTCTCCCTCTCACTCTCGTGCGCGGCGGCGGGAGGACACAGGGAAAGAAGGGTAGGGGAAGGGATTCAGAAACGTTTCGGGGCTACAACCCGGGTTGTTGCAGAGATGGCAGGTGTACGACACCAAACCCCCGCAGTGTGCACCGGTCGCCCCGGTGGTCTAGTGGGTAACCTCGCAGCCTGCTGAGGGCCAGGTCATGGGTTCGAGTCCAGGCAGAAGTGAGTTTTTTTCTCACTAACTAAATAAATCCTGGTCAAGGATGAAAGCGACGCTGCAAAGCTCGTTGTTGGTAAACCATAATCGACTTCGTAAGTCGCGAGGGAAGGGATGGCTGTACCCTTCTCGCGATAAAAATACCTCAGGCAGGAACCGCGGGAGGGGGTCCAGCCCCCCCCTTCAATGTGACCCCGGTTGGGTCGTCTAGCTGGTTGAAGTGGAGGATAGGGGCCAGAGGGACAGACGACAGAATCCGATGATGGGAGAAAAAAGAGAAAGAACGTGTGCGTCACCACGAAGAATTTTGCGCGATCGTCGAGCACGTAATTCGTACTTTGCCAAAATCTTTTGTAGGCCAGGCAATATTCTACCCTGATAACCTCGGGGTTTTCCTTTGTTTGTTTTCGTTTCAACAATGAGTGCCCCATGTTAGACCTTCGTCTAGCGTATTTACAGTAGCCATACTGCCGCGTTTGTTTCCGTTCCTACCGTAAAAAAATAATGACACGGTGGATTCTCGTTCGTATTGGTACCTCCGGAGCTGAGCACATGTTCTTGTCGCCATCTCCTTTCTTACTTCAGCCTTGAATGAATTTCCTATTTGCCAATTTCTTCACTCAAGCAAAGAAAGAAGGCAAGTAGACACAATCATGAGATCGACCACAACAACAGCAACCAACAAATAGAGTAGCAGAAGTGACAGTGATGGCAGCAACAACAGCAACAACGACCACAACCACAACCACAACACTATTAACGACACCAAGGTAATACTGTAGGTAAGTACATGACACGCTTCGGGCCACCCACTCTCGTATCTTAGAAAAACCCAAGACACTCGGACATGAAACCCCTCTTTTCGCAAACAGCGGGGCATGAACCTTTTCCACGTAGGCGCTGAGCTCACGTCCTGAATCCTGCTTTCTTTAATGCGTCGATTTCACCGCTTGAAGACGGGCCACGCACAGGATTTGGACCGCTCACCGTTCCCCCTTAAGGTCAGTAGGGCGGGTGGGCGGGGTGCGCCACGTACACATCGGATGAAGCCTATAAAATATATCGAAAAATACACCTGCTCAAGTTTTGTCGGCACATCCCACATCCATTCGACTGTCGTGCATACTCTAATACAACTACCGTTTGAAGTCGAATTGCAACACAGGGAACACTGTAATTTCGACCTTCATGGGAGGCGTTTGGAGTCAGCCTAAAAGGGTGGTTCTTAACGACAAAAAAAACACGGAACATTTCACGGAAGCGTGTTTTCTTGAACATACACGGAGGCGTTTTTAAACGTGAAAAGAAGGAGCCGGGATTTTTCGGGGCTTGCCACTTTCACGGATCCGTGTTTTGACAGAAGCATCGGACAAGTGCACCGCGGGCACCGTAACATCACTGAGAACGCTAGAAAGATCTGCCAGACTCACGTCCAGGTCTGTTGTGGAGATGGACAACCGGCAGAAGCGGCGTTCGTTCCGTTTTTGGTCCGGGCATTGCGTGGTGTTCTCGTCTTCAACTGCTGCTGTTGGTGCCGGGGAATTTTTTTCAATCACACGTAGCAAACTCGGAAACAGCAGTAGAACGGGTACAGCAGCAGTACCAAGACCTCCAACGCGCTGATTCCTTCGGTTCGGCTGTCTATATGATACCATCTCCCGGCGCCGTACTGCTTCGTGGGTATTGGGTGCTTGGGTGCTGCTCAATCAATAAGGTGTGTGAGAGACGTGTGCCACCTCACCAAAATGCCGTTGGAAAAAGTGCAGCGAGATGTTCTGTTGTTGGTCGGACACATCAACATCAATCCACGGCACCACGCAGCAGAAGAGCAGCAGGGCCTCCGACACGCTAATTCTTCCGGATTGGCCATCTATATGATGCTGGCCGTCAGCGCGGCTGCGGCCCTACGATTGTTGAGCTCGTCTACCTTTGCGCAGGTGGTGGTCAAAGATGGGAGTCGCAACCAACCGTGGAAAATGAGCTGGCTCACTGATGAAATCGCAAGCAACACCCAGGTTACGACACTCTGCCCTGCGCCTGTTGTTGCTGAAAACTGAAAACAGCAGGCCGGGTGGATAGGATCTTTCTAAGTGTGTTGTCCTCTGTGTCGGGTGCTACTCATTGCGCTTTTACCGCTGCTCCATGGTGAGCTACACCAACTCAACCTGTTGTGTGCCGAGCAAAGCGTGTATTCAGGGAAGAAAACGTACTTTTTGCGATGACATCACGAATAGAACAAGCGAAATAAAGCCGTGTTTTCTTTTCACCGTTCTTCCGTGGAAAATTTCACTACTTTTCCGAGGCGTTAAGAACTACCCTAAAAAGGACACAATCAGCCAGTTTCTAGATATCCGAAGGTCTCTGCCCGTTATGGCTTGGCACTTTTGGATTTTTCCAGATAAAATGTCGAGAGAGTGTCTATTTACGATAGATCTATGGGCATCGCCCCTCGCTCGGTACCCCCATTCCCTCCCCTTTGGCCCAACCTTCACGCGCATCACTATAAATAGCTCCCGCACTTGAGAGTTCAGCAGATAAGAAATTGAACCTCGAAAATTCAGAAGCTAAGAACTTAAGCACCATTTTGAGGATAAGAAATCCTATACTAAAACCTATATAGCGCCATTTGTAGCCCACAAGAGGAGCTAAGTACCCCAGCCTCGGCCGAAGCTAGAGGTTCTTACGTGTGGGCGCTATCTGTACTACACATGCTTCCCCCCAGGCTACTTCCTGCGTGAGAGCTGCCCATGCTTCCCGTAGGCATATACATACTACCAGCGCTGCCCTCTCGGCTGCTCATTCGCCGGGTTCTTCTGAGAGAGGACTTGCGTGAGTGGCGCTTCTTCTTCGACGCGGGAAGCTGGTTGAGGCAAATTACAACGCAGCTGCAGTTGTCGCCAGATGTTATGAGAGCCTGCGTTCGGTCGGTGGAGTCGGGCTAGGTTTGATTCAGTGGGGAGGTTTGTTGGGATGAGGTTGTATTGTGAGGCCGGTCGGTGATGCTATTTTCTGTTCTATGTATACTTTGTCGCTAATGAGGACGAGGGGAGGCCTGCGTCTGTCAGGAGGGGGAGGGGGCGCAAGAAACGAAGCCTGACCTGGGCAATGAGATGATTTTGCCGACGAGCAATACTGTAGCTAACTCCCGTTGGACATGTCCATATTTCTGGATGTATCCAAATTCTTCGTTTTGGTATTGGTAGCGTGCCGCACTCAAGTTGACGGCCACAGTTATCAAAGTGAGGAACCACGTGTGGTGACAGAACTTTGGTTGCGTTGTTGTCGTTTTGGCGCCGCGAAGTTCTTGGTACTTCATGCGCCAAGTGGATCGGTATGAATGCCAAAACACATCGCCAACGGAACCCAGCTCTGACACGAAACCCATGTGTGGATACCCTGGCTCGACTCCAAACTGTCTTGGAGAGGGAGATATCAACGCAGCTAGCTTGTGCAGTAATATGTCCGGGTGTTTATACGCCCGTGGGTATTCCGTTTTTCCGCAGACAAAGTACCTTGTCGATGAGCTCAACAGCCGCTCGCTGCACATCCCTGTGGGTGAGCAGCCTCCGGTGGACGTAAGACACCGCTTCTTGGTTGCTCAGGACATCCCAGACACCGTCGCAGGCCAGGATAAGGAAGCTGTCTGCCTCTGTCAGCTGAATGGAGTGCACCTCCGGCCGCGAAACGATTTGCTGCTCGTCCCACAGGCCGTCCCCTTCACGTGGGGGGTACACCTAGTATCCCGTTGTTTGCGTTGTTGTTCGGGTACAGACGATGCATGCAATACGACAGTTCGGGAGGGGGGGGCAAAGTTTTTTTGCGCAGGGACGGTGAACGAGAGGCATTACTGCGGTGGGTGTTCGTTTCGCATCTGGAGTCTACAGTATGCCCGTAGGCCGAAACGCATCGTTCCTTTGCAGGAGAGTTTGCACTTTCCCCATGATTTGACAAAAAAAAATGCCCAGAATGTTTCTGGGTTTCGAAGGTTGAGAAATGGACGCTAAAAATCGGGAGGACGAGTAGCTCAGTGCCTTGTTGAGAGTAGGCATTCCCTGAGACGATGTCCGGATTGTCGCCGAGCGACTCTCGCTTTGTGACGGGACTGACTACGCATTCCTCTCTCTCCCTTCCTCTCTCACTCTCTCTCTGCTAATTAGTTGTACACTTCATTTCGGGTGCTTTGCCTCGGATGTGCTGACAGCTGGTTGCACGTGGGGAGGAAGGAATCTTTGGCAAGCCTTTTGGGCGCGAGGACGATAATCGGTGAAAAAAGCGACAATCGCGAGCGCAACCATCGAAGAGAACATCACGATGTTTTGATAAATACACGACAATCCAGCCAATTACGCATGCACGACTCGACCAACTCACATAACAAGCAGTGAATAGAAATCGTGGAGAAACCGGCACCTAAAGCAAGTTTCGCAGATGAGTACTTCAGTGTGTGCTACCTTGCAGTGGATATCGCCAAACGACCGAGACACGCCCAGGATCCCGTTGACCCGGCCACGGGACACGAACCCTCCGGCAGCTTCCACGCGCGCTGCTTCAGACGGCACGGAAGGCGTGTGGTCCCGTGTGATCGCGACCGCACTGCCGCCCCTACAGAGCACCGCTCGGCAGTCTCCCACGTTCGCGACGTGCAGAAGCACGGGCGGTTGCTGTCGGCGCTTTTTCAGAGAAGAACGACAACAAGAAGAAAGGGAGGAGGAAGAGCACTGTGTGACGTGTGATGGCTTCTGCTCTTTCTGCGGCGGCGGCGACGGCGGCGGCGGCACTTCGCCTGCCGTTGTCACGGGGGGCGCGGGGGGTCGATGGACGATCGCCATCACCGCCACAGCCCCAGAAAATGCCTGTTCAGTCTTCTGCTTCTTCAGCGAATTGGCAGCGAATGTTGATTTTTCGACCACCTGAATTGGAAAACAGCGGAAGAGGGAAAACACGAATAGCGGTTAAAATAGCACTCCTGTGGTTATTATTACGTGCGGCATTTTTTTACCGTGTTCCCGACACGAGGAAGTTTGTCTCTGGTCGTCTAAGAGGTTGAGGCCGATTGGATCAAGGGTGAAACCGAATTGAATATGACATGCCAGACCCCGGTAACACTCCTCCTACAGTAGTTTCGTGGAGATCGACGGCGCAGGGAGGGTGACCTTGGCTACAAGACTCGTGCGCTAGAGACACTTAGCCAGGGACCATAGAGAACGACCCACCTCCGTGCACATCTGGCGCTTGCTTTCGCTGATCTCGAGGCACTCTTGATCCATCTGCAGGCATCCGTCATATATAGCCTGGTGTTCCAAACCACCGTCCATGGAGTCCGGAGTGTACGATAACATCAGAAAAGTGTGGTCATGTGGGAGGGGTGATTCAAAAGCAATGTTGGCTGTTCTACGTACAGCTCTAATCTCCTTTTCGTGTGGTTGTTTCGGGAACTCCGTCCTTTCTTCCATGCATTTTCCTCTTACGTACAAACTATTTCAACATGGATTTGTTTGGGCTCCTGTGGCGGCAGGAGAACCTCGCCTGAAGGATCGCATAACGCCTGTGTTGAGAGATGTGATCGGGGATTTCCTCGATTATCGTAGCGACGTGCTGGCCAAAGGGTGGGAGGGAGACTCTCAGTACCTATTGCGATTCTCTGTAGGCTTTGGGAAGCGAGGCACGATATCTCTTTTTCGAACATCCTCCATGATCAACACCCGGTCAATGCACGTGCTTTCACCATTCGTGCTGAGTTTGGTCGGGTACCAAAATGTGGTTTCCCTCGGGGCGGAGCATCTCATGTAAGTCCTGGAATTGGTGAGGTCTCCTGCGGTGACTGGTTGTCCCACCCCGCACTTTGTTTTGAGGAAAATTGTGGGCTCGCATCGTGCCAACATTCATCCCAAACTTGCTCATGTCACCGAGACTTTCCTGAGCACGCGGGAAAAACAACCACCGAGGTCGTCGATGAATAGCTTCGCATGATTATATTAGATGGCGAGTACTACCGCTCTTGCTTCCGGCGCGGTGGAGGACCAAGGCCTACGAGAAACAGAAACAACCTAAACAACAACAATCACAATCACCCTACAGCACCCATTGGTGATCATCAATGTCTTACGTCTTGTTTCTCTTCAGTACCTGTGGAATGTCCGACGGAAAGTTCGGGCTATTCAGTACCCGGAGGTGTAGGGCATCTTGGAGGCGCGTTGCCACGTCGGCTCCACCGTGACCTTATCGTGTTGTTTAAGTTTGGCCGGGTTGTTTTTTGTCGGCCATTCGTCGTTAATAGATAGAAACAAACGCCACGTGCAACAGAGAGGACGCAAAAGAAGGGAATAGTCAGTGAAAGGCATCGCTGGGGTCTCGGTCTGCGCGACCCCAGCGTACCGGGCATAGAGCATGGCGGGCGTCAGTCGATCCGACCGGCTTTGCACTCGGCGCTAGGCGGTGTCATGTGTATTTTCGGCGAAAGGCAAGTAGTCGCTTGTGGTTACGATGAAAAGCAGCGTAGCAGAAGAGAAACACTCAAAAGGTGGTCGTATTTTGTGCTCTGTTTCTTTTCTATATTCCGCCAGTTCATTTCGCCGGGGCGTCGGGCCCTCTGCCCGACAGAATTCCTTTTCCCAACAGCTTCTCGCGTTCCTCAACGCCGACGCCTGTTTCCCCCGCCGACTCCATCTCTAGTCCCGAGCCTGTTCTGCGGCCTCGAAAAATGTTAATGCTATGACATGCCTGGTCATGATGCTGTTGGCCTTGTTGACCTTCACGAAAAGCTGATCCAATTTTCTGCTCAACACGTCTAGCATCCGTACTCTGGTCCGATTGGCAACTGGAGCCTTCTGTGGTCACGATCTAAAGTTGCACAAAGTGGTGAAACGTCGAATGGCCGTAAAATGACCCAGAAAATCACCACGCACGCCATCGTATCAAGGGAGAAATAGGGCCCCAGGAAGTCAGATGTCGTAGGCAATACCTCCGGACAAAGGGCAACACAACATATTAGAGCACGTCAATGATACTCGGCGCGCAGCACGCGAGGCCAAGAAAATAAACAAGAACGGCGGACAAAGATCACCCACCCATGTATATGTAGATAAACAGTTCGTACCGCATACACAAAGTTATTACAACGGTCGTAAACCGGCAACAGTTCCGGGAACGAATACACTTGATGCCCACTCACGAAGTGTCCTTACAACAAAGCAAGGAGTCATTCGTCCAAAAATGTGCTGCTAGCTGCTATCTGTATGCCCGGTCTTTTTTAACCCCTTTTCCAGATGCCCTTTTTCCTTTCCCGAGTTTTCCATTACTAGAGAATGCTAAACCTAAACTACTGTTAAATCGCAGTTACATGCCAAATACAGCAATCTCGAAAAGCGTGACACTGCTGCACATACGCACCGTCGAATAGGCCAAAGTATGAGGCGGCCTCCGGCGTTCCCGTTGGCACCGTTGATGTTGCTTTGGTGGTTGCCGTTGCGACAGTCTTTGTCAACGTCGCAGCTGTTCCAAGAGCAACAGCGGGCACCGTTCCTGTGGCCGCCGTCGCAGTTGCAGTTTGAGATCCGACTGCCGACCCAGACTCTGGACGTTGCGTTTCCGACGGTAATTCGGGCGGGCTATTCGCGGTGCCGGCGCCAATGCTGCCGCCGACAGCGCTGAAGGCATCGGTCAGGCATGCCATTGTGTCTTCCATGCAGGAGCGCTTGCCTTGGTCCATGGAAACGCCGAAGCGAACTCCCACGTCAAGGTTCACCTTGATTGAAGGTGGATTGGAGATGCAGACAATAGAGCTTGTGCAGCCACCGGAGAAATGCAAATACTTCAACAATACAACGTCGAAGAGATCCTACCAATTTTTTTCCCACGCATATGTCGTTGAACTCTGACACCCTGCCTTTGTGGAGCAGTCGGTTCAGTGACCACCACCATTCATCCCAGAATGGATATTTTCCATTGTCCAGCGCCATACAGTTGCAACGCGTTCGCCCTCAGCACCGGGCCGGCGTAGTTCGAAATGTACGACGGTCATCACGGGATGGTACTCATGGCCCACATGGAATGGCGATCCATGCCAAACCTAAACATGCTGTTTCCTACCGATTTGCCCCGCGCACGTGCCCAAAATCTGCTCGTGAGGGCCTCTGCCGTGCCTCAGTAAGACACGAACGCCCAAATCGTGCTACGAACGCGCCCTAGTCTACGGACTTCAAAATGTGTTCCTGGTGTCTGTATCATTCCGGGCGAACTCAAAGCCCAAGAAACAACCGATACGACTTGCACAAGGTCGTAGGTTGTTGGTGTTTCGACTTGCGTACCTGTCCCGCCCAGGCCCTGGCCTGCACGTGCCCCAGGAGGCTATTCTCGCCCCCCGAGGAGGACGCAGTCTTGAAGAGTTTTGAAAATTTGGCGCCAGAGCCCGCGGTCAGCGCGAGGATTTCCTGGTGGTCAAGAGCCCGTAGCTCCGGGTCTTCTCGCGTCACCCCCTGAGAAACGTTTGGAGTCTTTCGTTGAGTTCTGAGAACAATCACGTCCGGATGGGATCGAAGCACTACCGGCAGAAACCTTCAGGACCTTGGTCTTCCTGGGTTCTGTTGTCAGGCAGAGCCATAGTCTCCTGGTGACGCAGAGGAGACGGCCTGCGACCTTAACCTCGAACCTAACCCAAACAATTCGCTACAGCCGTGCAGGTTGTCCCTTCACTTACGGTCCCGATGAGGTCAAGGCATTCCGTGATGTCCGCCACGCTTAAGGACTCTCCCATCCCGTCGCTGCTGCATTCACTCTCCGAGTTCCCTTCCCCGGCGCCGGAACCACCCTCCTTGTCGATTTCACTGGCTGCGGTCAAGCCTTCGCCAACGCGACCCTCTGCTGCGCCCTTTGCGCCGCCGATGCCGACGTGAGCACAAATGAGCTGATAGGTTCTGAGATCGTTTCTTCGGGTCTGTGGGCCTGCTCCGTTGCGCCACCTCTCCATTCCCCAGTTGCTGCTTTCAGCACCGGAGCTGCCTACATAGCTGTTGGTTGAGTTGTTGTCCGCGAGGCCCGTGCTGCTGTCCGATACGATTCGCAGGCTGCCCAGATTGCTCCTGGCTTTGGCGTCGGACATCCCCGGTGGGGTGGAGCGTCCCCCCCTGCGCGTTCAGGTTCAAGACGACCCGGACCACAAGTATTAGCAGCGAGTGTGTCAACCCTTGTCTTCGCGATGCCCCCGCATTTGGTGGTGACCGAAACCAATATGTTCAGAGTTGAGTGCCACATTTGTTGTAGCGAAGAATCGGCAACAGGAAGTCACGCGCATGAAACTTCGTGGTATAGCCTGTTCAAAATGTTCCATCTGCAACAAGACCCGTTCGCGTGTTTCGAGATTTGAGCAACAGTTTCCTAGGAAATATCAATTGAGTGCATCCGCAAAGCTCGCACCTAATTCAAAACCCACAAGTTTTTCCTGTAGCGACCTTTGTTCGGCGCAAGCACTCACATGTGGAGTTCTTCTGGCTCTTCTTCGTCGATACATCTCATCGACTCTTCCTTCCCGGTGAGCAAAGAAGATCGGGATACAGTCTTCCTTCTCTCGATCACGCCCCCCCCGCTGCTACCGCTCCCCACCCTTCTTTCCGAAGGGTTGCCCCCCGATTGTGAATGGTCGAACGAACGCTCTGCCGCTCCTCCCCCTTCTCCCTCCGCTCCTGCTGATGTCGGTGATTCTTGGAACTTCGAACGCAAGGGTGTTGCCGTGGTCGCCCTCGTGAAAGTCTCCTGCTCGTCCTCGTCTGGACGGCCGGCAAAAGACCCCTTGCTGCTCTTTACGGACATTCTACTGCTGTTCCTTCTTGGTTCGCCGCCTCCGCTGCCGCCGCCACCATTGCGTCGATGTCGATTGTCCAACGTGGTGCTGAAGCTGATGGTAGAGTCCTTTTTCTTGTTGGTGTTGGTGGCGATGTTTCTTGGTGGTGAGAGTAGAGCAAAGGCACTCCTAGCGGTTGGGAGGCTCGAATGCGATGCTCGAGCGACCGCCGCTGCTTGTTGGTTTTCGTGAACCCTCCTGGGGTTGTTGTGGGAAGAATCCTCGCTCTCTTGCCCGCTGCTTTGATTGTTGTGCAACAACTTAGCCTGAGCGCGTGCGCTAGAACCCCTATTAATTGACAGACAGAACGCCGGAGAAGCGTTGGGCGGGTTGGATGGGATTCATGGAGTCGACTTGCGGACGGTAGAGGGAACGTCACGATCCCGGCAACCAGAACAACAGAGACAATATGTTAGTAGGGGGGTGAGGGGGGGCGCCTCTCTTGTTGTTATTGACTTGGTACGCGGTGCTCACATACCTCGTTCGACAAATCTTTTTCTGAACGAGTACAATTGTATCACATTCTGACCCACGTAGTGCCTCTGTGTGTATCGCACGCTGCTGCCCTTTCGAGGGCCATTCTTGATCGCACTTTCTTGCTATGTGTCAAATATCTCGTGTTGTGTTCTTGCCGCCCGAAAATGTCAGCACCAACCAGTCCTTGGGACGCATCTTAAGAAAATGATCCCTTTTGCTCTGGTTGCTGTACATGACAATAACGACCCCGACCTACAGAGACAACACGAATAGACTTCGATGGGAACAGATAGGTCCGTGTGCAAGTTACTAGTTAGCAGACGAAAAAAACACACGCGTCTCAAGGCATCGTTTTTCCTCCTTACATCCTGGTACTGCTGGCCTTTTCGTTCGGGAAACCGATTTTTCGCCCCAAGGTCTTTAAGCCAAGCCCGCTGCCGAGGGTATCGCACTTTGAAACCTTTGCTCTGTTGGCCCGATCACTGCAGTGGAGGGGGGCAAAGGGTCCGTACGGTGGTCGGTCACGGTCGATTAGGTTGGTGAGGGGGCAACATGATGCCACAACAAAGCTTCGCACCATTGGCTCACCCAATGAGCCGCTCCTACCTCAAGAGGCGGCAATCTCACATCTGTTTGTTTCAGGCGTAAACACAGCCACATATGACTAGGCAAGTTAGACCAGTGTTGCAGGAAGTCGTGGCAAGGCTCCCGATAGTAATTTTCCCTCTTCTCTTGTGTGAAACGCTCTTGGGCCTGATCGGTGTGCACGGGTTGGTTCCCTCGATTTGAGCCAGGGCAAAAATAGTAGTTTCGGTGGACGTTTCCGGAACGTTTGCAAGAGTGTTGTTCTGAGAGCTAGCACGAGAACGTTGAACAAGATTAATTCTGAGCTCACCCGACTGATGAACGGCGGCTACCAACCTCCCCTTCTGCGGAAGCCCTGAGGGAGCTGACGGCTTTCAGCGACGAAATCACCACCCTCTTGTTGGAGCCTAAGGTGGGGTTGGCCCGTAGCATCAGGAAGTCTGGCTTTCGCACCTGACCGAGAGTTGACCAACTTCTTTTTCAGCAGCGTAAGCGAGACAGAAGGATCTAGTACCACGCTAGCACTGGTTTTGTTACTCAAATTGACCTTACCAGTTGCTGCGAACGCTCCAGGGCGGATCTATCCGTCAGCTCATGGCGGGCGAATAGGGAAGACGCGCCTGTCGCGCCGATGGCCGGACAAGAACAGACGCTCCGGTAATTACCGCCGCGGTCGGCTCCTCGATGACCAGTGCCTTCATCACGGCCGCCGCCATCGCTGGTTCCTTCCTCTTCATCGCTCTGCTCAGCGTTCGACGGGGTTCGCTGATCTACAGAGCCCAGTAGGGACGGCGAAGAAAGCAAGCTTGACAGCGGCATCGGCGACCTCCGGAGAAGAGCTTGCCCTTCCCTCTTATGTGGGTGGGGCTCTACCTGCCGCCGCAATGGTGGGATTGCCGTAGTACCGACAGAAGATGCCGTGGCGTTGGGCTCATGCTGCTGGTTGTCCGGCACCGGTAGCGGCGCGGGTCCCGCGCACTCTTTACTTCCCGCAAGTAAATTGCTGCTGCTCCTTGTAGCGGCCGCATCGGCCGTGTCGCTCTGGTCGCTTTCCTGGTCCTCTTCCTTGGAGATGGCGCTGTTGGATGCAGGTGGCGCCACCGGTGTTGCCCTGACTGAGGCTGGGATCGCACTTGAAGCCGCAATGTCATCTGGCAAAGTCACGGTAAGGGCGTGAAGGGCCAACCCTGGCGGGAGAAACAAGTGACTGGAACAAGGGACGGCACAAGAGGGGTGCGGGTTGGTCGCGGCTATTATTTACTTCGAGATGAGAACATCTTTTCTCTCTACAAGAGTCTGAGTCTCTGAAGTCTTGATTTAACCGTTCACCAGCAGACGTAGTTTTCTCTCTTGATATGTGGCGAGGAGTAGGCAAGCGTGGCCGAGGTACTCGGACGTACTAGTTTCAAGAAAGGCTGGGAGGTGAGAGTGTGCCTTCGTAGGCACCTCTCCCATATTCGAGTTTCACCTGGATGGTTCACTACATTCGGTGAATCTTTCTTGACAATCACCGTCAGATGGTACAACAATATTTGTTAGTCTACAGATCTTTCCTGGTCGCATGTTCGTCACTACCCTTTGGAAGGTACCTATGTTCTGGTTTCCACAGAGACGAGTAACTTTCTTCACGACAATTGAGCACCTCGTAATTCTCTATTTATTGTCTTGGCTTTAGCAGACTTGAACGTCGGGTGCTGGCGTGTTGTAGCGAAGCCTATCGACTCCTCTATATTTCGAATCGTCGAGGCACCTACCCTTTGTCCACAATGTTCTCCAAGATTCTTTGGCTGGCGATCTTGTCGTCGCCGTCGCTCCACACTTCTGGCTCCTCGTCTTCCTTCTCTTCCACCTTCGCCCCCACCTTCGCCTCCTGCCCGAAATAGCGGCGGACCCCTATCCTACCTCTTCCTTCTTCCCATGTCTCTCCTCCGTCCGCTGTAGGGTCCAGCTGCTGTTTCCGAATCTGGTCGTGATGCTGCTGGATTTCTTCCTGTTGACAAGTTTCCGGTCTGGTCGGCGGGGGATAACGGTTGGCCTTGGAACTCGGCGGCGGCGATTCTAAGAACGAAGGTAACGATGAAGAAGTCTTGTTGTCCCTCCGATCCCCAATGCGGCGGGCATGATCATTGTTGAGAGTAGGCACATGGCGTTTGGACGTGAGCACGTTGACGCTGCTTCTGGCCCGCATGTTGCTCTCGCCGGCACCACCGGTGGCGCGGCCGATCGCTTTTCTTCCCTCCCCGACGGCTATGTTTCGTACGATGCCGTCACCACCGCCGCCTTCGGCAGGGTGGTACATGGTAGGATGCACCGCCCTTCGCTGCCGCGTGTCCCTACTTCGCAAACCTGCAACGTGCGGCTCCGCTCTCTCAACCATGCTGGGCACTCCCGGTGGCCCTTCCTCTATCTGTGGGGGGCATACGCCCTCCCGTGTCACCCATTCATGGTTCATCGCTCCTTCCAGGGAAAGTCGAGTGTTCGGGTTCTTGTCAAGCATCCTGTGGAGGAGGTTCACGAGGTACGGCTCTATCTGGCAGTCCGAAGGAAAGGCGAGCCCCTCCATTTTTATCGATGCCATTAGCGCCCTGTACCTGTTGTCGGCCAAGGTGGGGTGGCGGAGGTAACGTAGCGGTTCACACGCACGCACTTTGTACTACCGTGCGACCGTACATTGTTCATTTATTGTTGTGCTTCTTTGAATTACGTCGTTAGTTATTCGGTTTTTAGACCATGTGTTGGGGAGAGAGACGCACGGAATGTGCATCGTCTCGCCAGCTGCATTGGCTGCGAGGCACGCCGTTGCATAAATATAAAACCCTTCTCCCTTCTCACGAAGTATCAGCCGGGGGACTGCGACTGCAAACGCAGGCGTCCCGAACTGACCAATTCCTCAAATGGCACACACTACTCTACAACATCCGACTAGATACCGATTACTTGAAGTGCAAAGGGATGGCACGGCGAGGTTTTTGCTGGCTGCCGCCCCTTGCGTTGGGCGGCCGCTGCTGTCCTTCGGTCTCTTCGCGCGCTCTGTAGCTACCGCTCGTCATTCAGCTTGCTACAGCCGTTACGTGCTTTCGTCCACGGAATGATAGCAGGGCAATTAATTTTTGGGTCGTGACCCTAGGTTTCCAACAAAGATTGAGGCTATAGTTCGATGGTTTCACTAACAAAACCCAGTTTATGGTTCTACCTATTCGACGAATAAGCTTTCCTATGTTTGATGGTTTCGATGATGTTGTCTTGAACTAATCTCCTCCAAATTCTCTGGTGGTAAGATGTTGGTGCGGTCCACTCACGTTCGTCCGAAGAAGGGCAGCTTGCCCACGACCATCTGGTAAAGCGATATCCCAAGAGCCCAAACGTCGCTAGCAAACGACATCCTTGACACTCCGCCCTCTCCGAAGAGCTCTGGGGAGTGGAAGCTCGGGGTTCCCCCCACCCGCTGTCCGCGTTTCTTTCGACGGTGCCTGCGGCGATCCCGATCCCGATCCCTCCCGCCGTCGTTGGGCGACTCTGCGCCTGTTCCGCTGCTGCTGATATCCCCATCTCCACCCGCATCCTCAGGGTTTATGATCACGCAGGCACCAAAGTCTGCTATTTTCACCTGTCACAGACAACGTTCAACGAGGTTAGGCTAAGGGGGGAACTTCGCATGGACAAGCATGGCAGCAACCTCTGGCGGCGTATTTCGTTTCGCGAGGGCAACTCATATCTTCTAGGATCTCGACGGTGTGCACGGGGAGCAGCACCGCACTCACTCTGCCCTCGGCGTCTTCCAAGATGTTGGAGGGCTTCAGGTCACCGTGGATGATGCCAAAGCTGTGGATGTACTGGAGTCCTCTGGCGGCTTGGATGAACTTGGAAATGGCGGTGTGCTCGGGAATGGGGTCCACTTCGTACTGTTCCTTGAGCAAGGAGCCCCTTTCCATGAAGTCCTGGATCATGTACACCTTCCGCGATCGAGGATCGTCGATAACCTCCCACAGGGTCACGACGTTGGGGTGCCTCAGAATTTTCATCACGGACACCTCTCGCCGGAGAGTCCGTTCCAGGAGCTCACGTTTCTGCCCGCCCCTCCTCGATTTCGTGATGACCTAGGTTTCGTTGTCATTCACGAAGACGGGGTCGCTTTGGTACAGGTACACATACAGAAAGTTCAATGTCGCATGCATGGATGATCAGGTGTCTTCTTGATATGTGCCGCCCAAGGCCTCGTGCTACTGTAGGTGAACATCAAGACGAACCTTCATGGCGTTGACTTCACCAGTATGCACGCGAACCACCTTGTACACCACTCCGAAGCTGCCCTCGCCGATCCTTTCGCACACACGGTAGTCGTTGATCACTCGCCCGCTCGTCTCTCCATTCGATTGTCCCGCGAACGTCAACTGCCCAGTGGATCGGAAGCTTGATCGTGTCGCACCTCGCACCGCCGCCAGTGCCCTCAAGGTGGAAAAGTCGTTCGAAGACCCGACCCCGTGTCTCGGCGTAGCAAACTTGGATCCTTCGTTCGCGACGTGTTGCTGCTGCTGCTGCTGCTGCTGCTGCTGCTGCAGTCCTGAGATATTCTTCCTTTGCTCCCGATAGCAGGCGGTCTGTAGAGCCGCCTGCTCCATAATGCTGTTGAACGCCTTGTCGCAAAGACACTTCCGAAAGACGTCTTTATGAAGGTACATGCAGGTGACCTCAGTCGTCGCGCGGACGCTTGCGTTTCTCGGCTCATCGTAGATAAGTGCCATCTCTCCAAAGCTGTTCCCTTCGTACAGCCTTGTCAAAACCCTTTCAGTCGGAGGGCTATCGATGCATGACCACTCTCGATCGCTCCAACCCGCGAGCTCGGCCTGTGACGTGGAATGGTTTGTGGCCCATTTCTCTGCCCCACTGGCCGCCGATGCCGTCGTCATATCGTCATGTCCAATCACTTTATCGATAACTTTCGGTGATTCTTCGTCCACCACCACCACTGCGGACATTCCTGCCGACGCCCCCGCCGCTGCCGTCGCTACCCCAACTACCCCGGGCCGCGTGTCACTTGAAGCCGCTGTACTAGCAACAGTTTCTGTCGCCAGCGTTGCTGGGCGACGGTGGTCTTCCGCGGGCGGAAGCCTAGGCACGGGTGTATTTTTCTGGATACGACCCTCAAGCGGTAGGAAAACCATTCCAATGGCGTCCTTCAAAGCATTGTTTTCGTTGCTTCCACCGCTGCTGCCACTGTCGTCACCGCCACCGCCACCGCCACCGTTGATCGACTCTCTTTGGTTGTCAACGGCGGTGGGGGTCCTATCGGCGGGAGGGGACAACGAAGCCACGAACTCGTGTTCATCGGACGAATCTTCGTCGTCCATGTCTTTCTCGTCGTGGTCGTCGTCGACGATGTTGCTAGATGATGAGGAAGAAGAATAATCCGAGCCGTGGGAGTCCGCAGTCATCGCGGTAACCGTGACCGTACCGTGCGTTATCATGTAAAACTTATCTCCCGGTTCCTGTCCGCAGGGGATGATGTCGGGTCAGGTCAAGTCGATTGTGATGGCAGTTTGGGTTTAACTTGCCGCCATTGTGGTACGTGTGCGGCATTGATGAGCATGGAATAATATTTTCCACCATGCCCAGAAACCGATTGATAACCTTGTCCAGTGTTATACACAAAGGGGTAAAATTGAAGTATTCTTTAGCTTCAACTCCGACGAATAGATAGGTTCAGACCGACACCCGGCAGTGCAGATTATCTGGGTACTAAGTTTGTGCACGAGCCAAGCTGTACAATGCTGAGCCAGCAATCGTGATCACAACATATAAACCATCACTGCGACCATAACAGAACAACAACTCACTCCTTCCTTGATGATAACCTCGCCAGGCTTGTAATCAGCGTACTTGAGAGCATGAAGAACCGCCGTCTGGGCCGTTGCGGGTAGCTTGGCCAACAAATTTACCTGTGTGTGGACGGCCGATAGACGAAGACTGATCGCCTTATTCTTGTTGTTTCTGCTTATTTTCATGTGTCTCCCAATGCTATGCGTTGATGAAACCTAACGCATCCGACCAAGTATCCCGCACCTAGCCTGCAAGAGCAGCTTCTTTGCTCGTTTCCCGCAGTAAAAAGGTGGCCGTGTGAGTTGTTCGCCTCACGATCACATCGGAAACACGAAAAAAAAACATTTCGAGGTTGAATATCACGGTCGTTCTCTTCCTCAGCGAGGCACATGCTTGCGGGCATCTACTCTTTGCGTACATCTCTTTCACTTGTTACACCTTCTTCATGAGCAGGTAGAGCCGAAACTCCCTCCAGTGACAAAAGGCCGGCCAATACAGAACGGCCAATGACGTGTCCACTGCCGCCCGCACTGTAGAGTTCCGCCGGTGTTCCTTGCTGAAGCGTTCGTGTTTCGAATTCCAGAAAACAAGAACAGCGTTAGTTGAGCAGAACAGCAGATTTGTGTGTTAACCAAGAGACCAGAAGTACCAGCCAATACCGTGTATGCAAAGCGTACAGGTAGCACAATTTCATTCACAGTTTTCAACCACATAAATAGTCAAAGTCAAAAGTAGGACTGAACATCAAGCATCAATCGATCAAGTGGTAGGCCATGAGCACTTGCCCCACGCACTCTACGCTGGCGATGCTTCTTGCACTATGTACCCCTGCGCTGGCGCCTGTGTTCGCGTGCAACCCAGCGAGCACATACTCAGTGCGTACTCGCCTGTAGACGAGACCCTCTTCCCCGAAAAAACCCTTCCCAGGCACGAGCGGCAGCACCTGTTGTGGCTTATCTCCGTCTCCGTTGGTCTCCATGGTCAGCATACTACCCTCCTCGGCGTCCAACTGCCACTCTGCGTCTGCGGCGGGGTCTAACAAGAAGTAGAGGGAGTCCGAAAGGTCTCCTTTCTTGAAGACGATCTGCCCCCTAGAGAAATCGACGATGCTCAGGCACTTCATGAGCTCCACCTGCTTCGTAAGCGGCAGCTCACCTTGGCGTTCACGCCCGTGGGGTGGAGATAGTTTGAAAGGGAATAACAGAAGTTAGATTCAAAGATTGTTCGGTTTGGACGGGTGTCGGGCCGGCCTAGTCCGGGTGAGGGGCTGTTGCGCCCGAGCCAACTGGTGGCCGTCGAATGTGGCCCACACCCGAACGTATGGGGCGCGGTGTGCCGTTGGTGCAACAGAGGTTCGCTACAAGCTATCTCCGACAGATCAATCGCTGAACTTTTTAGGAACATCTGACGGCCTTGTGTCGAGGCTGTCCAACCCGTTGCCCCGGTGGTCTAGTTGGTGTCCTCGAAACCTTCTAGAGGTCAGGTCAGGGGTACGAATCCTGGCGAAAGTGAGCTTTTCTTGCAAAGTGAGTTTTTCGCTCGCTTCCGCTCCTGGCCTAGTGGATAGCGCTAGTTCGTGTGTACACAGAAGGAAGAGAGTGCGGAACTCTTCTCGCACTGAAAATCGCAGGCAAAGTACCGCAGGAGGGGAGGGTAGAGAGAGGTTCTTTTGTGTGACCACGGGTTGGAGGAAACGGCACTAGTGCTGTGAGCGCTAATTTGAAGTGTAGACAAAAGAAGAAATCGGTGGCTAGCGGGCAAACCTTTGGGGGGGGGGGGGGGG